GCTGGCCTTGACCTCACTTTGTAGCCCAGGCTGGTCTCGAACTCACAACGATCCTCCTGCCTCAGCCTCCCCAGTATTGGGATTACAGGCATGCACCATCATGCCTGGCTGTCACTTTAATCTTGCACAGTTTTCCCTGTTTAAGGCAGTATTTATCTGCTTAACTGATACCTACTGATGTTAACTGGTAATGAAAAATAATACAGTGGGAGGTGTCACAGTAAAATATCACATTATATCATTAATGGAAGTGAAAATATTTCATGGCATGATTTCATTTACTTCATTTATTTTGAAATAATTAGCATGATATACTTTTGATTCTAAAATCATTTTACATGTCACTTAAAATAGCACAATTAATATATCTTGCCAAAGATTATATATTTTTCAGTCAAACTATTAAAAATATTTGGGAGATTGAAACATTTAAATTATCAATCACATGATCATTAGACTTTGTGAGAAAATAGACTATGTGACTAATGAGTATGTAAAATGACTAGCAATTCTTCAGAAAATGTGTTCCTTGTTGGTATAGGTAATATTCAAAGTGCAAAACAGTTCTTCACCACCTCTACAAACCCCTGACCAAAGTCAGAAATAGGTAAATCTTCAAGTATAACAGTGTTGTTAAATGTGATTAGTTGTTTTCACTTACTTAAAACATTAACAGTATTGAACATTATTGTAGTTTTTAATGCTATCATAAAAACCTTACCTTGAGCTAATATTTCAAAGGATAAAAATCATGCTCATGGATTTTTTATGTGGACTGCTTCTCAATCAAGACTTTTACCAAAATCAGTACACTGTACTATTGTATTTGAATCTATTAATACAAGAAAGGAACTATACCATGACCTGTTATAAGAGCTAGAAGATTTTACAGAGATGCATTCATTGTTTTTCATGCATTGATTCTGAGCAACTTAAATTTTTTTTTCTGAGCAACTCTATTTTGTCACCCAAAATAGAGTGACAGAAACCTAACCTATACAACTTTAACATTAAAGGATTCATAGAGTGGAGCAAATATTCATAATCACAAATCTACAAAAAACCTAGTGACACAATATACCACTGTAAAAAAGCTCTCTTCTTCAGTATGACTGCCAAATGTAATCCGTCATAACCAATACCCAAAATACATGGCATTGTTTGCTTACAGTGTACCTATCTTGTGCTCACAAAAATCCACTGATGGCTTGAGGGTGCTGGAATTCATTTTAGCTTTTTCAATTCCAATACAGCATTTGAACATTACCTTTCAGATAACAAAATGGTTCACTAAGGACATAGAGAAACAAGAGTAGAACCTGGAGGGAAATATTAATCAAAACACTGTATAGTAGAGACAAACACATACCAAGTGACTCAATAATGACAAACGTTGGCTTCTCTGTAGCTAAAGGGAGACAACGCTGCAGATATGATAACAAAACTCTAAAGACAGAATCATAGTGGAAATAATAATTGTAGCACCATTCTGCCTTGAAGGAAAGCTTCTAAAACATAAGACATTCTGAGATATAATCACATACTGAAAAGAGCCATGAAGTCTGTGACTTACTTTATAAATGTATAAAATATTATATAATAGTTCCAAAATCTTGGCACATTATTTAATATTTCTATTCTATAGAAATACACAGAGAAATGAAAACAGTTCTGCCACCTCTGACATTTTCCATAAAACCCATCTAATATTTCTTCCTAAATAAATGAAGAAATTACGACACTTAAGAATAAAAGATTTTCTGGTACACAGAAATTTAGAACTTTTCTAGTACATAGAAATTTAGCACAAATTTAGAACTCAGTTTTCTAATCTCTAAGTTAAGAACTTCTCCTGCATGTCCCACCTCAGCAGCCAAGATACCAGCCTCAATAATTATAAGCAAAAATAAATACAACAGATTGAATAAACTACACTTTCTGATTGTCTGCCTCATAGCAGTTGAAGAAGCAGCAAATTTCTTAACTAATGCCTGTCCACTGAAATCCCTGGTGACAAACAATAAGGAATGCATATTCTTCGACATACTCAGGAGGTCGAGTGTCAGGTCCCAGGTCTCGGTGTAAAGAAATCCTGTCACTTGCAAAAGCATTAAAGCAGTGCTTTGCTTCCCCGCGTTCTTTCTCCTTTTGCTCTTCAATACTTAAATTGGTTGTCTGGAAGGCCTTGCCAGATGCACCGGGTGCGTTGGAGTCCTGAGGTGGGCGGTCGAGAACAGGTTTCAGTTCTGCTGCTGTGTAATATCCTGGCAGGCAGGGTCTCTCCCTGGCATCAATGTGTTGCCTGACAGGTGCTCCTATTTGCATTTTTGGCATTACATCTTTGATATTGTTTACAGCTTCTAACATTAAATCAAACACTTTGTTTTTGTTTTTCAAGTTTCTTTCCATCCTTGATTCCTCTTTGGAAAATTGAACATTTACTTCTCTTTGCATTAAAATCAAAATTAAGATAAAGAAAAAAATTACTCCACCAAGTTTCCAGAACTTTTTGTGGCAAAGTCTTTTAAAATGTAACTTTACTAGTCGCTTTAGGTGAGCCATTGTGACATTAATGCTTGTTTCTTGACAAATAACAGTTAAGAGTTTCTCTGCTACTTATACTTTTTATCATAGGTTTGCTGGTAAGAAAGTTTCTTTAAATGATACCTATAAACAGAAATGATAGATGTTATTAGTAGCTACTCATTCTTACGGGTGTGGTACAATTCATTCATTCAGCCAACAATGTACTCAGGATTACCAAGAATACCAAGATTTTCTGCCCTGAACAAAACTACACTTTAGAAGAAAACAACTGTGCAATTAACTATAGTGTAGCTAGGAGTACAGAACATTAATAAAAAGCACATTTTTTGTCAGCCATGATGGCACATGCCCACAATCCCAGCCCTTGCGAGGCTGAAGCAGGAGGATCATCAGGAGTTCAAGTCCAGCCTGGGCTGCTAAGTGAGTTCCAAGCCAGGCCTGAACTACAAAGTGAGAACCTGTCTCCAAAAATCTCCCCAAAATAAACACTCCTCCAGGAAATCCCACATCTTTATTAAATCTGGTAACATCGACTACATGATATAAATAAAATTATTTTTAAAGCATATTCTGAGCTTAGAAAAAAGGAATGTTTTAACTTGATAACCAAGGAATTACAGTGTTTCATTATGTGGACTGTAGATGTTGTTGGAGAGATCCATAGGAAGGCAAGGATGCACTGACAGGCCCAAGCAAGCATCCACCTATGAATGTCTTCATCTATGCAATCTGCCCTTAAACTGTGAACCTTACTCCAACTAAACCAAGCAAAATAGCAAAGCAGCTTCATTAATAAGTAACCTTCATTCTGCCATATTTCCTCACCTGAGAGCACTTGTGAATCCTGCCCCATAAAGAAAATCAAGAACATTTACTGTAGCTTGCTGTTATGTAACAGATAATTTCAACAGCTCACACAAATACAAAATCTAACGGGAAAAAGAAAATACATTTGCTTCCCTTGAAGTGTCTCTAGGGTTCACACAGCAGAATTCAAAGTGATGAAATAATGAAATACCTCCCGCTTTGACCTTAAGAACACAGTCCGAACCACCATGAGCAGGACAAGCTACCCAGGATGCCGAGCACAGCCTGAGTCCCAGTGAAGGCCAGTTCTCTCTGTGATGCTTCAAAGGATGGAAGGTGAAGGGGTTTCAGCATCGGACTGCACATTATGCACCATAACAGCCAATCAGGAACAATAGAGGGAAGAGGGCCACAAAGTGCTTGTGGATGCTAAACTCTAACCCTAAAGAAAAGATCATTTGTAGCATTAAAAACTAACTTTATCACTTTATTGAGCTTCTCTTTCAAAGTTATTATTAAATTTACAATAAGAAAACCAAGTTCTAAGATGGATCCTCTGGTTTCTTATAGAAAATTTTAAGCTGAATAAACAAAATAGGCAGAACTTAGTTCATATACTAGTTTTGATTGGAAGGCTCTATATTCTTTTCAGTATGGAATAAACAATATGGCTCTTTAAAATACCTCAACTATGTTATATATTCCCCATAAAAGCAAAATTCCAATATTTCTGAGCTTTGGTTGGTTTAAGAACTTCATATAAAGAATCAAATGACCTCTTCTACTTTTCTTTGCTTAAAAAAATTCATAAGGAGTCAGAGAACCATAAAATTATAGTTGGACAATTCCTTATTTGTCAAAGGTTGTTTTAGGCTGTCGCTACAAAATTAACCTTCAAGAAACAGGAACTAGGATGAAACCTGGCGAGTCAAACAATGAGGCCATGTCATATGCGCTATGGAAAGAACATGGAAGGATGCAGAAATGTTAAGAGATTTCCCAAGGTGATAATGTTTAGCAGAATCTTGAGAGTCAGTACATTTTAGGCAGGCGGAAAACAGAAAAGCAAGAAGAAACGGCGAATGCTACAGCACAGATGCAAGAAAAGACATGATCAGCCCTGAGAACAGTACAAATGGAAGGTACAGGTAGGGAGTGGCAGGAGATCAGGCTGGCAGGTCAGATAAAGGCCAGTTCACTAAAAGCAGTGTGTATCGTCCAGTGAATTTGAAATTTACTGAGCCTTCCCTAAATGGGTAGAATGAAAAGACCTGAATGATTTTAAAACAGGATCATAAATGAGATTATAGAAATAAATCTCAAGTTTCCACCCTCAGTGAATATGACACTGAGAGATAAAGGGCACCAGACAGATGGAAAAAAATGATTCCAGAGCATCTAGCAAACGGAACCAAACAATAGGACTTGGGGAGAGAAAAAAGAAATGTGAGATGGATGGATAAAGTGATGGAATTAACAGTGGCAGGTGACTTGATTCGTGCAACTTGCTGGAAATTTTCCCTCTACAGTTCCAGAGGAGACCATTTACAAAGAAGCATGGAATCCTAGAACTAGCTAGATAGAGTGCTGAGAAAACCGCTGGCTGCGGGAGTCGGAGGGGCTGTCCTCCATAGCAGGCCAGTGCACTTTCAAGATGGCTCTGCACTGGGTGTCTGGGCTGGAAGTTCAGGCGGTCAGCTCTCTAGACACCCAATTTTGTTGGACTCCTGGTGTGCACACGTGCATCTTCAGAGAGAATCTGAAAAAACAGGACCTGGGATGACAGCAGGTTCATAATGTCATGGCTTTAGGACACATCACAACTGTCCATGTCAAGTTCTAGGGAAAGTACAGGGGGAATGGATGCCAACTCTAGAGAAAACTGTGCCCTGTTGGTACACAGCTCTGGAGAAAATCATATGAAGAGCTGAGCAGTGCAGGAAACGTGTTCCCAGAAAGAGCCTGGGCCAGTGAGCGGCTCTGAGACTGGGAAGGGAAGGAAGCCCCTTTCACCCTCAGGGTCCCTCCAATGTTAAATGCCATTAAACCCTCTGTAAACAGGCTTTAACACTGTGCCAGTTAGCACAGGAAAAGTATTTCCAAGGTGCATATCCGTTACTGAAGAACAGGCTAATATTTAGAGCAGAGAAACAATAAATTCATAATCTACCCGTTCACCTACTCAGCTCTTCTAGTCCACTGGGGTCTCAAGGTTGGTTTCTGTAGATTAGGAACCTGTAGTGTTGGTCAGGTCACTTTAGAAGAAGAAATCAAACACTGCTGTTTGGAGCTGAGCCTCCATGCCTGCCACAAGGCACTGTTCACAGGTCCACTGAACAAGCTCTCAGAGGGCAGGGGAGAAAATCTAACAGCCAGAGTATATAATTTTGATCACTTGATTATAAAATGCCCTCTCTGCAGGAAAAAAAAAATCCTTTAGTGGGCATTTAGATGGGACACAGGTTCTGTCCATTTGAAAGACCTATCTATCCTCAAGTTTATCTGTCACCAGTCTTCCAGTCCTGTCCTTTCAGGGCCCTGGCCATACAAATGATCACCAACTGCCCATCAACCAATGTAGATCTGCACTTCTAGCTATCTCTTATTACAGAAACCACACACAAACATATCTATCTACCATTCAAATTTCTGCCTATAGGAAGAGTTTTCCTTTTCATCGTCCTTCACAATTACTCATGGGTAGGCCACTGTTCTGCAGCTGTCCACTCTTGGGTAGTGTGGGTGTACTGCGCAGCCTCATTTGCAAATCAGCCTTGAGACTTTTCTCTTCCTCTATCAGTAGGACTAAGAAAATCCTCAAGAAGCCGTAAGGCATGGGTTGAAGGAAACAAAGTGCCATGGTTTGGATAAATGTCTCCTAAAGTCCCATTGGTTAAAAGCTCGCTGTCCACCCTTGTCTCTATTTGGACAACATGGAAGTTTTAAGAGGTGGGGCCTAGCAGAACACTGGGGGTAGGCCCTTTGAAGGGAACATTGGGGCCTAGCCACTTCCTCTTCCTTTCTTTCACATCTTGGTCATGAAGTGAATGCTTCTGTCACATGTTGGTCCCATGATGTGCTGCCTTGCCTAGGCCTAAATGCAATGGGACCAACCAATCATGGACTGAAACCTCCAAAACTGTGAACCAAAATGAACCTTCACTCTTCATAAGATGACTACCTTGGGTATTTGTTATAATAATGGAAAGCTGACTAACAAAAGGCAATGTAACAGGAGTTGGTATTGGAGGAACTGGGTCCACTCACTCAGGGAACTGAGATGTATTTTCCTTACTTTTCCAGGTCTCTTTCTCTTAGTCCTTTTCTCCTTGATGACAGACTGTCACTGTGCATGGACAACCTATAGCCAAATCAGTCAGACAATATCCACTTAGTGACAGGAAGTTCTGTCTCTATGGTAATCCATGGTTAAGCATTTAGTATCTAACTAGTGGCCAGAGGAGCTGTTAATCAGTGGGTCAAGTGTTATCTGAAGAGGGAATACATTACTTCAAAATGCTAAAGATCTTTACTGTGATTCTGGTATTGGTGCTTTCCACAGCCTCCACAGACAGTGCCTATTTGCTAGACACACTAAAAGAATCATAGGACTTGTGATAGTCAAAAGCTGCAGTGACAGTATTGCTCACACTGTGTCTTGAACTTGCTGCATATCCTTCTTTCTTTTGCTCTGGTCATCACTCAAACCTGACACCCTTTGAGTCACTCTGCATGTAGGTTAAAGGAGCATATTCAAATGTGGTATATCCTCTCTCCAAAATCCATAAAAGGTCTGTCAATCCTTAAAGGAACACTGAATGCCCAGAAATGTTAATGAAATGCTATGCTTCTGAAATTTTGTGGGGATGATTTATCATCCTCTACTTTTCATATGCTTCACTAAGATATTTAAAATACTTGTTATTTTATGCTCAGCAGATACAATCAATATCATACAGTCAGTATAGTGAACCAGTGGAATGTTTGTGGAATGTTAGGATGATTAAGATCTCTAGGACAGGAGAACTTCCTAGACCTCAGGCAAGACTGTGAAGATATACTGTTGGCTCTGTTACATAAAACAAATGGCTTTCAGTGGTCCCTGTAAATTAGCACCTCAAAAGCTATAAAACAAATGCCAGAGACTGCCCAACTGGAAAAAGATATTACATGTGGAATGACAACTTCATTGAGAGTCACTCAGCATTCACCTACTCAGCTGATTAAGTTTAAGATAGTCCACAACCATTTTCTCAGACTCATCCAATTGCTGCACAGGCCAAAGAGGTGAGTTAAATGGGGAGGCAATGCCACAATTCTGATATGGAATGTGGCATCAACCTCAATGATTTCCTCAGGGATGTGGTATTACTTCTCATTTATCACCTTAGAGATGGGGGCTCTAAGGTCTTCTGCTTTCTCTCACTTGAGAGTCACCAAAAACTGTGCCAGTTATCTGGGATTTCGATTCTAGTTATACATTAAGGAAGTGAGGAAATAAGCACAGACTGCATTGGCTGACCATCTGGACCCACTGAGTTCAACTCCACTCACAGTTTGAGGGGTAAGTTGCTCCTGTAGTATTTCCTTTTCTCCAAAGCATGGTCTGTAGCAAATGGCTGCCTGGTCTATGGCAGAAAGAGTTCTGGCTCTGTGAATTAGCATGGCTCTGGAAGCTGGGTGAGCCAGTGACTCCTATTTCTCATAATTAAAGTGAAATTGCTGTTATCAGATCTAAATTTTTTTTCCTGTCATGAAGACAACTGATACTGTAGTCCTTACTATCTATTTTGTTCATTAGCTACCACTAGAAATCTTTCAAAGAGACATCATATCAGCCACTAGAAACACCTGCAGGCTAAAGCTTTCTGAGGGCTGTATTCCTGCTTCAATTAAGGAAGATGGACCTCCTTTATCTTTCATCCTAAAGTGCTTATTGCCATGTATATTCTGTTACTAGGGCGTAACATATCTGCACTAAAATCAGGAAGCCAATCTCAGTGCCTAAAAGGAGAGCAACCACCAGTGTTTTTCACAGATGCAAGGGTTCTCCCTCACTAATGTATTTCTCAGTATCTTGGTGAAAGGAATGTCTACTGGGCCTTTTCATGGAATATAGTCAGTAGATGGGCATGCAGGATTCACAGAGTAAATCCAATCAAACTTTCCTTTTTTACAAGAGATATAAAAACTCATAAGCAGAAGACAATTTCCTCCAGTCATTTTCCCTTTAAAGCCCCAAGAGTATTCAAGGATGGGGAAGTGCAAGAGCAAAGAATAATCACTTGCTCAACTGTGATCTCTTTGCATTC